AACCAAAATTTTAGCGACGCATTCGCGAAATTTTCATAAAATATGTTTAATTCCCAAGAAACCGTAATATTTACCCATATCTAAACAATCCATCCGAACAATTACAATTCGTAACCTTATATCTTCCCAAATTGCTAATCTATAATAAAAAATACAAGAATAATATTATATTAAATTTATCATAAACAAAAATAAAAATAAATAATCAAGATATTCAAAAATATATATATTATATATTTAATCAATATATTAATATAATATAATAATTATATATATATATTTAATATTTAATATTTATATATATCTATATAGAATTATAAATATTAATTCATTATTTCCATATATATTTATATAATTTAATATAATTTATAATATTTCTATTTATATTATACATATAATTTGATATGGGTTTTAATTCATAATAAAATTTTAAATGCAATTGTTTTCTTTTTTGTGATGTAAATTTAGTATTAATTTGTGAAGATGTCTTGATTGATTTTGTTGTCTTCAATTCAATTGATCGAAATGGAATATCCTATATATTACATATTCTTCGGATATGATTTCTTTTTGATGGATGATGATTTTCAGGATATTTTATTAATATGGATATTCCCCATTGAATCGTTCAAAGGTATTTCCGCCAGATTTTCCCAAGATTCAAATTGAATCGTAATCATTGGGATTCCAAATCGGAAATCTACGTCAAAAATTCATGGATTGAAGACATCGTGAGCCCCACGTGGTGTGGACCTAGACCTACGAGTTTCACCGATGTCGCTGCTCTTGTGCTCTTGGATCGGCCTGGCGGGTTGGGTGTGCGGTGGGCCTGTCCAAAGAGCTTAGGTTCCAAGGTCTGCCAGAAAGGTTGAAGAAAAAATAAGAAAAAAACGCATCATGCCCTACAAAAGGGTGACCCCAACCCCTGGGTTTTCTTAGGTTTCACTGGGATCTTCTGCTTTTAAAAAGCGACGACCCATCGAGTTCTGAAAGAGCATGGTCGGTGATGTCGGGAAGTCGCATAAGGATCACGCCGTGAGGTTCACCTGTGTTCGGATCCAAGGAGTTCGGACCCACAACCCGTTGGGGTGCGAGACTAGACCTGAATTGGCTTAATGGACTCATGGACTGGTTGGGGTACCCACAAGCTGGGTGGTTCTACCTTCACCTTCGTGGCCAAGAATTGGTTCCTGCGTAAGGCCGGCCAGGTCGAGCGGGGCGTTCGGTTCGCGTTCACCTCGCGAACGGTTCGAGTCGCGATGCTAGAGGCGGTTCGCCTCGAGCTCACCCACTGTTTAACTGTTGCTTTTGCCCACTACTGTAGGCCAGTGGTTCACAGATGCTGGGTATTGTCTCTTGTATCGCGACCTACCACCCATTGCAGTCATAGGAAGTGGAGATTGGCAAAGGAAGAGCGTGACTGTATGTCAAACAAAGTGCAAATAAGTCTAGGTTGATGGCCTCAGGCGTGACAAATCCCAGCTTTTTTGTGGGCAAAACCTCTTGTTCGGGTCTACCAACCCCTGGGACCATGCAGCTACGCAACTTTTTGAACGGCCGCGGGCTGCAGTTGGGCACCTGGTCTAATAGGGATGAGCGAAAACGAGTCTGTCGACGCCCAGCCCTGAAAGTCTCCTGGTCGGCACAAGATTGAATCCTTGGCCAAAACGATCATAGAGGACTCAATACCCAAAAATCCCCAGCGTTGTACCAGGCTGTGAGCAAGGAAATGTCCGAATCAGGTTGACGCGCAAGATTGGGCAAAATCCTCAGGATGATACAAGCTCCTGCACGAACGCCCAAGTCAAAGGATCTTGCAACGAAATCTTCACCCCAGTCTGACTTGCGAAGCTCCGACCAAGATCCCTTCTCTCCGACCCGCTTCGCGCCGCGGTGTCTGCGGCCCTTCTTCGCAGTGCCATGATGACTCTGCGTTCCCCCCGGGCGCGAGGGCCGTTCAGGACGGCCCTCGCCTGCCGGAGGAGGCCATCCCTCCCAGTCAAAGGACTGGGCATTCCGAGTGACAGACCCATTCCCAACACAGTCCAACTGCTCCAACGGCTCCCTGTGCAAATTCAGGACCTCCAGTTTTGGGTTCAAACGCAATTCCACCGGTTTTGTTCGTCTTAAAGTCAGGATCACCAAGCGGTGATAAACCGCCTCTAGACCGGCTGTCGTCGATGGTTGGTGGGTCCTCTTCACTCTTTGTTTCTTTTTCGAACGCGCGCGAAAGCCGACTTTGATCATGGATGCCATCAATTCCCGTGAACTTGTCCCTCCGTGCATGGCCGCAGTCGACACTTGGGAGCTGGTCAAAACACTGGGACACCCAGGAACCGCGCTTTGACAGAGCAGAATCCAGCCCTCAACATGGCAGGTGTTTCAGTGTCACCAAAAAGGGATAGGGAGGGTCCGTTTTACTGCAATTCATTTGTTTGGATTGACAACACATCTTCCATCATGTTCCTCTTCGATCATGCCATGTAGATGTCTGACCACTCACTGAATTGGCACGAAGGGTCAACCTCGGCATCCATGTTCACGATCCGGTGCAGTCAACATCGCCGATTCGCAAACCGGCCGACTGACTCACTAGCCAAGCGCAGTGAAGGCACCAGGGCGCTCAAGACATGTTCGACCCTGTCACATGAGGTTTGGATGTCATGTGTTCATGTGTTCTAGAATATGTAGCAGGGGGTGGAGCCAAGCTTTTATCTGTTGGCCAAGTTTTTGCTTTAGAGCCACTGCATGGCATTGCCATATCAGCTTCTCGGTTTCATGACTTGGATTTGCTCAAGGAACCTGGAAAAACGAAAAACATCTAAAAACTAAGAAGGAGATTTAACCATAGGGAAAATCAAGAATCACCTTAAGCAAAACTAGGATGAAGCTGTGTGCTTTGTCCACTCGGCAGGAGGATTGACCATCAAGTCCCAGGTGAAACGATCCGAAAGGTGAAGGGTACTCCCCTGCAGAGGACCACATTGAACCCATCGGAACCCAAGAACTACTTGGTTGTGAGGAAAACCGTCTTCCACGGAGTCAATTCTCAGGGGGGGGGCGGGAGAAACCTATGACATGAGTCGTGAGACATCATGAGGCTATGAGACCATAGATCTTTGCACCTAATGATTCATCATGATTCATCGCCCGATGACTGACACATTTGGAGCTCTCTCTTCTACGTGAACTCAGGATATCCCTGAGGTCATGTTAAAAACATATATAGATATACACATAATATATAATATGTATAATGTATAATACACAATATATATATGTATGTATAATATGTATAATATATAATATGAAATATCTTAGCCGCTCTTCGAACAGGTTTTGCTCTCCAAAGTCGAG